TTTTTTTTTTTTTTTTTTTTTTTTTGCTCTAATGAATTTCAACTTTTTCCTTATCAGTTACAATCCTCGTTCTTAAAATCAGCGAGACGATAAAACTGCATAGTGAATGAACAATTAAAGTGCAGTCATACGCCCGTTGCGTGTTCTCAGCCGATAGTGGCGAAGCTTTGTTCATTTTGAGTGTTTCTTTCATAAGAAAAACCAAATAATTCCTGACTCCTGCCTCGTGCAAGATCAACACAAAAGGCCAAGAGAGCGAGGGCATCTATCCTCGCGAAACATAATATTTTAAGTAATCTCTCGCTTTATAGGTCTCACTTATAGTAAGTATTAATCAGTTATCCCGGGTTTAGCTTTTCGAATGCTGTAGTAAACATAGTAAAAGTCTGATTGAAAGCAAATTACTATCAATTATTCCACGATAAAAACTAAATAGATATTAAAAAATAAGATTATTGCAGAGAAATTGTGTCAACCAGCTATGGAATTGCATGTCGAAAACGAAACTAATTAAATATATCGAGCAAAACAATTTGGTTATCCCTAAGAAAAGACTTTAAAATTTTCAAATCATGTTTATATTCAAGTTTAGTCGGAACTGTTTTAGCAACCAAAACATTCGTTGCATCTTAAAACAAACGCAATCATAATGGATGATCTTTGGACTAGAGTGAGAAACATGTAGAACAGACTTTGACATCAAGCTGAACATCCACTTTCGTAAAGAATCCATCCATGTTTTGTCTTTTTTTTCATCTCCGCCACCAACCCTGAATTTTGACGATTTCTAATGGCACACTTTCAACCCGAGGAATCCTAAACGCGACAGGGCCCTTATCTAAATGTTACTTTTGAGCACGTGAAGAACATTCCATCAGTCATTTGTTTTAGTGATTTGGTTTTCACTAAAAGTGCAGCACGTGCAAGCCACAAGCCAGTGAACAAAATCCAGTGACCTTTGTTCAAGTAAACTCCAAGCCTTTAAAAAGACAAGTGTCGATTGTTTGTGAAACTGTTTAGTATGCATGTGTCATGATCGCGGCCTGATGTAGGTGGATTCATCGCGTGTCCAAAGCCTTATGTGTGGCGTGATGACTCAGCTTGGAAAATTTGCTTCAACCTATTTCCTGTGACACAAATTACTTGAAATGAGGCCGAAGTGATTCACGTCAGAAACTTGAAGGCCACAACACAATAAGTCAGACTTCTTTATCACCCTGTATTTTATTACTATTAAGTGCCATTTAGTTGAGCCGGAATCGTACATCTCTGTTTTTGAAAACCTCTTAAAAAGTTATTGACGTTTAGTCTGGCTTAAGTGAAAACCGATAATATAGTAAACCTTCACTTCTAATTGAATGTTTCTAAAGAAAACTTCGTAACAGCAATTTACTTAAAGATAACCTCAGTGAAAATCCACTGATAAATTCAAGCCAAATAACACTTGTGACAGCTTTGGAACTGGACGGAACGAATCTTATCTTGAGAATAAATACTTCCTTGTCAGTTTATACAGAACAAAAACAAAAGATCGTGTTTTTCAGCATTCTTTGATTCACAGAAACGTGCACAATGAGTTGCAAAGTCAGTATGCCACGATATTTTACGAAATAGACATTTGTTTACTACTGATAACCTTGGCGCTCCATGCTTTGACTTACACCCGTCGTTTAGACAAAAAAATTCCGCTAGCAAACCATATCCAACGCGAGTGCGTGACTCCTGCCTGAAACGTGCTTGTTCAAACCCCTGCGGGGTAGCTTTATTAATATAATTGATTTTTTTTTTTTCAAGTAATTAGCGGAATACAAAAGCGTTGGTTGACCCGCTGCAAGAGAGTATGGGCACGCGCGCGAACACATGCCACACGTACACATATAGCACGAGGTTGTCACTGTGATTTTAGATTTGATAAGAGCAGTATTAGACTTAAATGTAAGAAGAGCACATTCATCTTTAAATGCATACAAATAGTATTGCCCTAAGACATAGATAGCTGTCGCACTCAGACTCTGAGGGTCTCCCCGGGGAAGTTTAATCTAAAAAGCTACTGGCTCTCTGGTGTGGTCGTCAAGGCTTTCATTCTCAAATTTCTCTCGCAAGACGTCTTGTGCGCCGTGTCTCCCCAATGTTTGCAATGGTCTCTGCAACTCCGCTTATTTTTAATGAACTGCCAGCCAGTTAAGGAGACTACCACCAAAATAAACTCATAAACGTGAAAGTAAGCAGATCTTACTAGAGATGAATAGCTTCAAAGATAAGGGAACATCGTGGGCCAATTTAACAAAGTTTGTCTGTTTGACACTCGAGTTATCTCATGCACAGCACGTTATCTATTCAGCCGATTATAGCCCTGAGGACACGGATATTTTATTGCTTTGTGTTAGCCCTGCGACTTACAGTTTATGCTTCTAGGACGGATTTTACCATGACATTAAGTTACTCTATCTACCCCTGACATGTCTTATTAAGACTTGCGTTTCTTGTTGTTGCAACAGGGGCGTGTTTCCGCCTGGGGGAGAACCCGCATCTTGATCTCACCAAGATGGCACAGAAGTACGGAGACGTGTTCAGCCTGATGCTTGGAAACCGCTTGGTGGTTGTACTCAACGGAGTCGATGCTATACAAGAGGCCATTGTCAAGCAGTCTACAGCCTTTGCTGGCAGACCACAGCTGCACACCTTTAAACTTGCCAATCCACAAGATAACAGTCTAACCGTAGGTGATTATTCACCAAAATGGAGGCTTAGTCGTAAGATGAGCGTCGCTGCGATCCAAAACTTCGCAAAGAATTCAGATGTCTTAGGAGAGAAACTGCTTCGGGAATCACAAAGCTTGGTCCATTACTTCAAGCTACAGAAAGAAAAACCCGTTGATGCTTCGATAACTATTAAGTTCGCCATCGCTAACATCATCCTTAACGCACTCTTTGGCGTCGATCGTTCATACGATGACGAGGGCCTCCGAGGAATTATCCAACTAGTCGAAAGTTATGGACAGGCACTACATGCCAGTAGCCATGTAGACTTCCTTCCATTCTTGAAGTACCTCCCCAATAAAGCGCTGTCAAGGCTTGAACTGGCATTAAACGCTGTGAATGATGTGATTACCGAGATGTTTGTGGAAAACAAGCAAACCTACAATGAAGGGCAAGTTCGCAATATCGCAGATAGTTTTGTCAGCGTCGTTGAGAAAGAAACCTTGAAAGAGAAGGAGAATAGCCCAGCTGGAGAGAAAACCCTTAACATGGCTCCTCTGCTCAGTGATGAACAGATAATTCAGGTCTTGTCGGAACTCTTTGGTGCCGCCATAGACACCTCTTCTGGCGTTATTTACTGGAGCCTGGCATATCTGGTGAAATATCCTGACATCCAACGCCAGCTGCATGAAGAGTTAGATAATGTAATTGGCCAAGGACGATTTCCAACTCTGGCAGACATAACATCACTTCCTCTTTTGCAAGCTACAGTTTACGAGCTCCTGAGGGTGACAAGCCTCGCTCCTCTTTCCATACCTCGCTCCACAACGACCGAGGCAAACATTCGGGACTACACAATCCCAAAAGGCACGATCGTCTTCATTAACCTGTGGTCCGTGCATCGCAATCCAGCAATCTGGAAAGATCCTGAAGTTTTCAACCCCAGGCGTTTTCTGAACGATGCAGGTGAGTTGATCGATCCCAAGGCTCTTGGCGGCTTCCTACCATTCTCAGGGGGCCGTCGAAAGTGTCCTGGTGAACCCCTAGCCCTGAAAACAATATCTGTATTCCTTGGGGCGTTACTTCACAGCTTCCGATTCTCGCAGGATGGATTGCCAGCCGAGTACCAGGGTATAAATTTTCAGGGGAAGTTTGGCCTTACTTTGCAGCCAGAGACATTTTATGTGCGAATAGAGGAACGTTATTGAGGAGCCACCACTGCAATTATCGCCATATGGTTGAATAATTAGACACTTCACATACCTTAGAACTGCTGACTAAATTTACGCAAAGAGCTCTTATTTAACCTTAACATTTAAGATTANCTGAGGACACGGATATTTTATTGCTTTGTGTTAGCCCTGCGACTTACAGTTTATGCTTCTAGGACGGATTTTACCATGACATTAAGTTACTCTATCCACCCCTGACATGTCTTATTAAGACTTGCGTTTCTTGTTGTTGCAACAGGGGCGTGTTTCCGCCTGGGGGAGAACCCGCATCTTGATCTCACCAAGATGGCACAGAAGTACGGAGACGTGTTCAGCCTGATGCTTGGAAACCGCTTGGTGGTTGTACTCAACGGAGTCGATGCTATACAAGAGGCCATTGTCAAGCAGTCTACAGCCTTTGCTGGCAGACCACAGCTGCACACCTTTAAACTTGCCAATCCACAAGATAACAGTCTAACCGTAGGTGATTATTCACCAAAATGGAGGCTTAGTCGTAAGATGAGCGTCGCTGCGATCCAAAACTTCGCAAAGAATTCAGATGTCTTAGGAGAGAAACTGCTTCGGGAATCACAAAGCTTGGTCCATTACTTCAAGCTACAGAAAGAAAAACCCGTTGATGCTTCGATAACTATTAAGTTCGCCATCGCTAACATCATCCTTAACGCACTCTTTGGCGTCGATCGTTCATACGATGACGAGGGCCTCCGAGGAATTATCCAACTAGTCGAAAGTTATGGACAGGCACTACATGCCAGTAGCCATGTAGACTTCCTTCCATTCTTGAAGTACCTCCCCAATAAAGCGCTGTCAAGGCTTGAACTGGCATTAAACGCTGTGAATGATGTGATTACCGAGATGTTTGTGGAAAACAAGCAAACCTACAATGAAGGGCAAGTTCGCAATATCGCAGATAGTTTTGTCAGCGTCGTTGAGAAAGAAACCTTGAAAGAGAAGGAGAATAGCCCAGCTGGAGAGAAAACCCTTAACATGGCTCCTCTGCTCAGTGATGAACAGATAATTCAGGTCTTGTCGGAACTCTTTGGTGCCGCCATAGACACCTCTTCTGGCGTTATTTACTGGAGCCTGGCATATCTGGTGAAATATCCTGACATCCAACGCCAGCTGCATGAAGAGTTAGATAATGTAATTGGCCAAGGACGATTTCCAACTCTGGCAGACATAACATCACTTCCTCTTTTGCAAGCTACAGTTTACGAGCTCCTGAGGGTGACAAGCCTCGCTCCTCTTTCCATACCTCGCTCCACAACGACCGAGGCAAACATTCGGGACTACACAATCCCAAAAGGCACGATCGTCTTCATTAACCTGTGGTCCGTGCATCGCAATCCAGCAATCTGGAAAGATCCTGAAGTTTTCAACCCCAGGCGTTTTCTGAACGATGCAGGTGAGTTGATCGATCCCAAGGCTCTTGGCGGCTTCCTACCATTCTCAGGGGGCCGTCGAAAGTGTCCTGGTGAACCCCTAGCCCTGAAAACAATATCTGTATTCCTTGGGGCGTTACTTCACAGCTTCCGATTCTCGCAGGATGGATTGCCAGCCGAGTACCAGGGTATAAATTTTCAGGGGAAGTTTGGCCTTACTTTGCAGCCAGAGACATTTTATGTGCGAATAGAGGAACGTTATTGAGGAGCCACCACTGCAATTATCGCCATATGGTTGAATAATTAGACACTTCACATACCTTAGAACTGCTGACTAAATTTACGCAAAGAGCTCTTATTTAACCTTAACATTTAAGATTACTTAGTTTATCTTCTGCTGTAGTGAAAGAGAATAAGCCTCATGCGTATCTGAAGTATAGATTTAAGTCTTTATCCCACTGATTTTGTTTTTGTTTTAGTTTTATACAACACAAAAAACTGATGTAGTTTTGTCACGGTTAAGTTAACAGTTAAGTTTGGACGGCGTAACATTTTTAAACCATTTTCGTTTTTGACCGTTATAGTGTAAGAAAAGAGTATTCAATCGCTTTAGCCCTTCACTTTGAATTTTCCTAGTCGTGTCATTTATTATATTTTTATAAGATACTTAAGTAACATGGTGAAATAAAATGTGTTTAATTTGCTGTATTGACGCTGTTGTGGCGATGTATGTTTTTTTTTTTTTTCTTTTTTCGTTTCACTTTGCTGGGACTAGAATGATCTCTATTTGCACGCAGCATACTTGACAGATGCGAAGAAGGTTCAGTTTCAAGCGAACGGTATAATTAAATGGACACGACGAGAACGGCGTGCCATGGTTGTCGCCAGATAAAGGTTCAAATGGCGCGTAAGCAATTTTCTCGCATCGGTGATACCTCAATCTTCCTTTCTTCAGACCACATAACTTTCAACTCTTGCCGACAGCAAAGAAACACGTTGCAAGAAGATAACACGAAGATGTTTTAAGTAATTTCTTCATTAAATTGATCGTGACCTTGATTTTAACGGTTGGAAGACTTCCTTCGCATGACAAGAGCGTACGAACGAAGCAAGTATTGCGTGTTGTTAGCCAACGCTTACGAAGCTCTTTTTATTCAGTTCCAAATATTGTTTTGCTCCCACCACGAACAAGAGCCACATAAAAGTTCGACGTGACAAGAAAGGGTTTGAATATCCCTCAAAAAAAACATGTTTCATTTTAGAATAATAATCTCCTAATGAAGCGTTATAAGTTTCAAACAGGAGCTCATGATGAGCTCCTGGTTTTAAACTGTAAACATCAAGCAATTATGGCGGCCGGGTTCGACATTTTGCCCAATTCAGTGTTAGTACGCCCACTGAAGTATGACTGTAAGCACAGGAATCGGCCTTAATGAACGAGTCAGTTTTACGAATACAACAGTAGTAGGCAAAGCATCATCCAAATATTTATTATCAAACAATGTGGACGTTTCGTCTCAGCTGTGTAGAGTTGCCCGCAAGTCGAGCTCGAAAAGTAAGAAATGTCCGCCACGCTCAAAAGCCCGAGGGCGAAGAGCGCGCGGAGGAGACCTGCACAACCAACAACCAAGGACTTTGAGAAAGTTTACTCGAACTTTGAAAGACAAAAATGATTCTTAATAACACAGTACGTCGCTTACAGACTCAAGCAAATACTTTATTGCATGCAATTGTCAACCGAGGTACAAACCTTCATCACTTTTCATCCTGTTCACTGTTTCAGAACGTTTTTGTAAACAAAAAGATTCGTAATTCGCGACATTTTGATATGTTCCGATCTCAACTTCACCGTTACTGAACTAAAACTGGGCCTTGAAGCGAAAACACGTATTTTCGCTTCGAGAGCCATGGCTTTTAAGTTAGTTATATATAAACTTGTGTTGAGTATTAGGACCTATTAGGCCTGTGTAATTCAGTTACAACACTAGATTACAATCTTAAACAGAACAACCCCGCTAAATCTTCTAGGGTAGAGGGCCGGGGCTTGGCGCGGTCAGCATGACATTTGATTGATAGTTTTTAGCACATTCCAGTGACCTTCTGTTCTAAATAGCTGCAAATCTTTAAAATGACAAGTGTCCATTGTTTGTAGAACTGTTTCAGTATGCGTATAGCATGATCTCGGCCTGTTGTAGATGGTTCCATTGCGTGTCCAAAGCCTCAGCGGTCATGACTCAGCGTGGGAGGACTCTCGGGAGGCTCGCTTCAATTTTCTTCCGTGATTTCAATTTTGTTAAAATCGAGTTTATGTCAGAACTTGAGCGATATTTCTGTAGAGGAGTTTTACTGTACATACTTATAATTCTTGGTATTAATTATTGCTTTAGTTTCAGTCTTCAGATTAACTAGATTGAGTGAATAACGAATAATTTTTAAAAATGAAAAATAAATTTTAAAAGAGTATTTCAAGGCCATTGCGTGATAAGCGGCGAGTCAGAATCCATTAGACTATCAACCACAGGTCTGACACCAATGAACTGAACTTTATTTAACGGCATTCCATCGGTGCTAAAGCTGAGATCTTGAATTTCTGCAGATGTAACTTTAAAAACTCGTGCTCTTAGATGTTAGCTTCGACTGTGGATGAACAGGCCTTCAAAAAACTGTCAGGAAAGCTCAGCACCTAACACCGAGAACAGCAGACAGCTTTAGAACACCGAAAGAGGCTAGGCTGTCTTCTGAATAAATTATTCCTCGTTATAGATGAAAACTGACTAAAACAGTACAAGAATGTTCAGCATACGTTAGTATACTTATAAATTCGGAGGATAACTTGGAAGCCATTCTTTCTAACTGTCGTGTCGTAAAACTATGAGACAATGTACTCACAACAGATATGCTTCAATTTCCGTGTCTTACGCCTCCCGTACAATATTGTTAGCAGAAAGGAACACCAGGGAACGTGACTTCTGCCTCCCGCTGGCTTGGCTGAAACCCCTACGGGGTAGCTTTTCGATTTAAAAAAAGAAATAATACTCGTAGTGGAAGTGATTGAGGAAACGTTCTTTGACCCGTTTCAAACCGCAGATCCGAGATAAATTTGGCAAAAACCTCAGTACCGTGCCTAAAATCCACGGAAATTGCCGAAACCGCACTTAGTAAGCACAGGTCACTGGTCACACCGCAGTAATTCAAGCTAGCTAAATAGCAGATTTTTGAACAAAACAAAACAAAACAAAACAAGCTAAAGATCTTTACAAAGTGGACAAATTCTACAGTTTAGGCATTTAAAAGACAAGCTAAAACAATAGGCAGTTAGTTTATTGACCTTATCAGTATTTGCCTGTACGTATTATGTGCAAATACGGAAAGATTTGATTGCGTCATTTAGACCTGTAGGCCAAAGACCTTGTAAGCCTCTCTCTCTCCCTTTTTTTTTTTTTGAAATAGCGAGTCTAATTCCAGAAGCTTGCGACAACCAGTTTCTGATATCGTCACAGAATAACGAACAGTTTGCATTGAACTGAAGTTTTTTTAAACTTGGAATTTACATGGAAGAGGGTAACACTGCCCATCATGAGTCCTGAATTATTTGTATTAGGCAAACTCAAAAGTGTTCCTGAGAGCAACATTTACTTAGTTATTTCTTCACGACTGAAACAGTCCAGCGGTTCTTGCTGTTTAAACTTCAAATTACGTAGCCGGGTCGTGGGTAACTCCGAAGGGGACCTTTTTGTCTACGCCCCTCCATTTCTAATTGGTCGTTATACCGTGTGAACAACTTGCCCACACGATTGTTAATTTCCAAGTCAAGACGTACGTCTTTCCTCTGCCTCCTAACTCGGTGCCAGCCTTTGTCACCAGTTTGATATCTAGCTTCCTTCGCAGGGTAAAGTTATCTTCACCGTTTTCAAAATAACCTACTTTCGTCGGGCTTTTACTTTATCCTATCTAACGTGAATGAACAACCACCACTTAAGGATCAACGATTTTCAAGCCGAGTTAAGAACACTACAGTAATCTTTCAGTCAGAATAGAATGGCGTGATAAACGCCGAAACTTCAAAAAATTTCGTGACAATCGCCGATATAAGTGATGAAACAAGAGGTCAATGGTGTGTTCAAAAGTGTGTTCACCGGCATATAAATTCCTTGATTAATCTTTCCGTGCTTCAAACCCATTTAGCCTGGACCTGCAAAGAGGAGAAGGAAAAAATATTCATACGTTATTCTCTGGTCATATCATGAGCTCTCCGTTTGAAGACTTTTCATCGCTTTTTGGGCAGGTTTTTTTGTTCCATTTTCTTGTTTGTGTGTTCCTGACTGGCGTATATCATAAAACTTTTTCCAAGCTGCTCCTGCCTCGAGGACCGTTTGATTTGACAAGTAAGATACGTTTTTAACTCTACTTTAGTTGTTTAAGCGACGACTGCACTTAATTTTTATCCATCGTCGCCTAACTTATAGCCCACATTTTTTTAGTGAGGTATTAATATAGTTCCATATCTGTCTAGCCATTCAACTAATAGAGACTGGAGTTCAAAACATTTCAGTATTTACTGTAGTTGCATTGTCTTGAGAAGCCTAATATGACACTGGTTCTGGAGTTCTCTGGGACTAATTCGTGACTTCTCATCGAGCTGAGGTTTGGAAAAGTCGTTGACTTGTGAGGGTGAAAGTTTACTAAATTTAGCTGGGCCAAAAAGCAATATTTCAAAATAGCCTGAAAAGGAAATGTTCTTTGTTAAAAAAAAAAAAAAAAAAGACGCCGGTAAATATTCAATGGAAAGCCGTAAATAGTGACTGAAGGGCAATCAGAATACTATTGCATGACAAAAGCCGGTGCGAACTAGGAACTATATTGCGCGTTCTCAACCAAACTGAAGAATGTTGACGAATCTTTGTGCATTTTTGGACTGAGGGGGCTTTTATCATGAAAAGAAAACGACAAAACAATGCCTTATTTACCAAAGTTGAAAGGCGACAAATTTACCGGCCCGTGCACACAATAAAGTCCATAAATCAACTGTAGTGGTCTTGTTAGGGACAAATTAAAGAGATGATCATTTAAGAGTTTCTTTATCCCTCACATTTGCGGAGTTTATTGCAAATCTAATACTCGTTAATTACTGTTGATTAAAGACAAAATCTAAGACACAACACCGTTAGGTTAGCAAATACGCATTACACTTTTTTTTTTCTATATTTAAACAATTGACTTTTTTTTTCTTGAGTGAAGCATGAAGCGTGAGCATTACGAAGGAAAAGCAAAGCACAACAGATATTCAACAGACGACGATCATCGTCTCTTGAGATTGTACAATGTATTTCCATGTACAAATCCAGCACATTGTTTGAATTAAGTTCAAGTGTCAATTGTATTTCGGGCAATTTAATATGGATATGCCACGATTATAGCCCACTGTAGGAACGAACATTGCGTGCTCCCAGCGGAGGTCGTTATCAATAAACATAGCAACCGAGTTTACCTCCTTAAAAAAACATCCTTGACTTCGACGTCACGGACGTATTCAAGTTCTCTTGTCCGTTACAATTAAAAGACGTCCTTGACGTAGACGTCACGGACGTATTCCGGCTAAGTACGCATTCTGTTTTAATTAAAGATATTTATGGCTTTTTCTAAACACGGTGTAGCATGGGTGTTGGGAATTACAAATGATCAGAACCACTGGAATTGTGTATTGATTTCAGTATTTACAAGTAAGGTGCGTAAATGTGAAAATAAGATGAATCTTCAAATGTCGTCTTGACTGTGTGCATGTTGCTGACGTTTCTTGTCCTGTCAACAGGGTCTTGCTTGTATCAGCTGGGAGGGATTCCACATCTTAACCACACTAAGATAACACAGCAATACGGATGTGTGATGAACCTGCCGCCTGAAAGTCACTCTACAGTGGTGCTGAACGTAGTTAACGTTATTCAAGAAGGAGTATCATGTGTGATCCATCGAATTTGGATTCGACTTGAAGTAATTCGTATTGGCCTTCAAGTTAAACTTCGAGTCACTGGACTACGCGTTTTAAGACTTCGAGTTAGACTTCGTGCAAAAATAGCAAAATGATTGTTTATTACGCACGTTGAATATGAAGAAACGGCCGAAAACTACTCTTCAAATAATGTTATAAGTTTTAATATAAATATGAACTGTAACCGCTTCGAATGGAGCTGTCTAATATTTTTAGTTTTTTGGACATTCGTACCATGACTAGCATACTAGATGGAAAGGCGGACGGTAGCTCATGTTTCGGAACACGGTAAGACCCCTTGTGATAATAAGGGGCTTTAGGTTTGAGCAAGAGTATAAGATCGAGTTCGAGAACGAATCTTCTATTCCATTTTACAAGCTTTACGTTATCACGTCATCACATACCAATCTCATCACATGAGCTACCCTCTCCAGTTCAAACCAATATGAAGAGCAAGGGCTCTGGAAACGTCACCGATTTGAAATTCGAAAATTTTACTCATATTCAATTTCGTACTCGTAGTCCAGTCTTATTGTCTCTGATAATCAAGACTCGCGAACGTTACAAGTTCTAACAAGGAAGTAGAAGAATCACATGAGCAACAATACCAACCAGTAAGACTCCATCACTCAGTGTCTTAATTGTCGCGGTGCTTTATTAAAATTGTGAATGAGAAATTTTTAAAATCCATGACTATATGATAGAAGCTAAGTAACAACGTTGAAGACCACAACATTTGCGAAGAGAAATACAATCAAGTGCAGTGATAGTTTTACAATTTTGTCACTTTGTCCAGTTGCTTTTGCTATATCTATCGAAGCATCTACTCGAAAAAGCGATGAAAATGGCTTACACTCACAGTCAGCGTAAAACGCAGAGTGTGGACTGCAGATCGCAGAATGCAGACCAGGGATAAAGTGCAGACCGAGGGTAAAACTTGGTCTACAGGCCAGGGCTAAATTGCAGACTGATGGCAAAATGCAGACTGAAAACCAGGGGCAAAATGCAGACCGCAGACTGCATGCACACTTTTTAACTATCTGTTGTGTTATTTCCATTATCGAATGCTAATACCGTAAAATCACAATTCATTGATCACCGAAAATAAATTCTAGTTAGTCATACAACTCTTGTTTAAGTTTTGAACTTTGCCCAGTGATCTACAATACACGATCTATCTCAAATGCTAGAGAGAGTCCCAGGAACTCCTTTGTCTTTGTTGTCCAATCAAATGGCATCTGGCGTTTTGCTGCCAAGCATGTGTTCAGCGATTGGGTGAGTCTGCATTCCAGTAATACTGAATAACACCCCGGGTAGCCTGAACATCACTCAGGTTAGCCTGATTAACGCTCTAGTTAATCAATGTACGGTTGGTTCTGAAGAGTGGAAATGGTAACACGATTCAGTTAAAAAGTCTGCAGTCTGCAGTCTACAGTCTGCATTTTACCCTGTCCGCAGTCTGCATTTTACCCTTAGTCTGCATTTACCCACGGTCCGGAGTCCGAAGTTCGCAGTCTGCGTTTAACTCTGACCACTTGCACTCATTGCTTATCAAGCCCTTCTTCAAGGTTAAACCTAGGACTTGACAAACTCATAAACCTAAGTAAGTGCAAGCGCAGAGAGGGGAAACCCTTCCTCTGAGTTTTCGCTGTACTAAAAATCGTTTTGCCTCTTATAAATGAATAGATCCCTTGGTTTGCACCGCAAAAGAAGATATTTTTTGCTGTTCATGACGTCATGGATGTCACATGACGTCATCGAGTCCGCCATTTTTGATTCGCCTTCTTTCCTCATTTTGAATTTCACTAATTTCTCAGAAAGTCAGGACAAAAGGTGAATTGACGGGAAATTTCTCCAAAATATATATCGTGGAATGTAGAATAATACAAATTCTGCAATGCTACTTAAGAAAGGTAGAAAAACGACGAATTATGTCCAAAAGACCAAACTCGGCTTGACTCGGCATGTCAAAGTACGTGCGGCTCCCATGGCAATAACGGTGACAAGGACAACTGACCAACTGACGCATCCAAAGTTTGGTGAGGGATACTGATAAAGATCTCCTGGAAGTTTGAGCATCACAGTTATATCCTCTTTTCAAGATTCTGATTAAACCTTCGGGGAGTGACACCCACCTCTCCCCCCTTCACAGTCTCTTTTTCTCTTTCACTCTCCCATTGTACGCACGAAGGTGTACGT